AATTCCCTTCTAGCCATGGCTGCATATTGATTATTAATCCACTGCGATCCAGTGAATATCTGATACCTTGAAATTAACAGTAAAATGATGTTAAATATGAAAGTTTGAAGCCAAGTTAAAACATGCTCTTGTGGAGACAGAGAATGATTGTGTTTCTACACGGTTTCCAGCCCGGCTCTTTCGCTGATTGGTTAAAACTGCTACAATTGTGTGTGAGTACCATGGGACCAATGACTGGACTGTAAAACTTTAATTAAAACATTCACTCATCAAACAATTAACTTATCAATACTAATGGCCATTTCTGGCAGCAGAAAACAATTAGCGGTGCAAGTAATTAACCTTTGAATTATTGCAATTAAAAATAAATAAATAAATAACACACAAATACACATTTGATGTATTAATGCTGTCCATTATAGTATTAAACTTACAGTATCTCTAATTTTTTTACGTTTGTGAATTTTTGATATATAACTCAATTCAAAACACATCATGTATACATAATACGTGGCTGACAGGAGGACTTGATAAGAGTAATGATGAACTACACCGGTTTTGAAATCAGGCGGTGGCACATGAGGCGGTGAGCCCTCGTCAGTTTATCTCTCTCTCTCCTCCCTCTCTTTCTCCTGTAAGCGTTAATTTAAGCAGAGGAGGTGGTGTGCCAGCAGCGCTTCATGTGCATCCTCCTGCCACCTCCACGACATGCGTGTGAGGGAAAGCGCACACGCCACAGGCTGTTTCATGCACTGTGCTAATGATGGCCTGTTCTACACTGGGCCTTGACCCTCCACTCATACAGCATAATTTGCTTTTTGTAACAGTCTTTCTGCTGCGTTCGACAGCAACTTGGTGGGAGAAGCATTGTTGGCCCACTATAGTTCCTCATTCATCTCTGGCTGTGTCTCTCTTATTGAGGCTGCTGGTGAATTGGGTGTGTTGTGCGACACGAGATTGGAGGTGAAAGCCATGTCGGTCACAGACACACAATGCCTGCTCCAATTACAATGGCTGGCAGTCATACACACAAACCGGCACAATCTGGTAATCAGTGGATGAACGAATTTGAATGGAAGACTGTTTTCATCAAGTTTAGATGTCAAGGTGGCAGAGGACTGAGCTAGCTTAGAGGTGACTAGCTCTGAGCCGTTGCACCCACTATGGCCTTGAGCTGGCAGTTGGATTGGCTGCCGTAACAGCCCTGATAATCGTGACACATGCAAAAAAAGTATTTTTTAATGCTGAATGGTGTTAAGAGTAATTGTGTAGTTGCCGCCAAACATTGCAATGTTTGGAAGTCTCTCAAACAACAGAAGGTTCAGCAGTGCAAAACACTTAAAACTGAAGTGTCTTTGTTTGTGATTGCATTCATAAATGGCCTTCAATGCACTATAATTTTTCTCTGTTAGTGAAGTGGCTTCTTTGACTCAAATTGTTATCATCATTCACTGTTGTCTGTAAATGCAGTGCTGAAGCAGTTACTAATGTATATGATTTTTACAGTAAAATCCCATTAAATTGGCATTCTTGGTCAAATTCAGCTAGCAGAATTAGTGCCTGTGATAAATGCTAGGTGCACACAGCCCTTCAAGGTTGCTCTTTCTGCTTATTGTTGACTGATTTAGAAAATAATGTTCAGTAGAGTATTTTATTGTTTGAAATGCAAACAGGCTGTGCAGTAATTCATCCCTTAAAATAAATGCGTTGGATACACGTTAGACCAATTTTATATATATTTTTTTATTTTTGCGCAATTCTCTAATTATATTTTGTCACTGTTGGAATAAAACCTTCAAAATGGTAACTTTACAGGAGAAGGGAAAACATTTTTAATCTTTAATAGAAATTGATGTAACAAGAGGTTTTTTATTATTATTCTGGACCATTTCAGGTCCATTCATCATTAAACTGTAACACAATATAAAGAGCAACTGGACTTTTTAAATGATATAGAAAGTAAAAAATGACCATAATGGAGTTACAAGGCATTATCACAACAGCGACGATTTGATTCCACTGCCCTTACAGATAAAACGTACATTTCAGATGTAAAAAAAATTTGCACACTTAACCTTTTATTTTTTACCTTCATGTCAATTCAATATGTGCCGCTAAATGTTATTTTTGAATATTTCACATGTGACTTTTCTGGAAGGGTGATTACATTTGATGCCTTTTATTTATAAAAACTGTAATTAGACTGTATAAAAATATCTTTTCTTACATTAACAGTTTCTGCTGAACAGTGTTGATTTCCAAAGAATAGCAGACTGTTAAAACTTGCTGTATTTGGGAAGTCGACTCTAAAAATATGGTATTCACAAATAGTACATGCAAAGCCTCCTTACGCTAAAACCTTTTAAAGATATTGAAGCCTCTTCATGAGAAACATTTAATTTGTTATCAAATAGCATCCAGTTTTGCGATGATGAAGTTTCTCCTTATCTCATGGAAAATGTAAAGCGTTTGCGTACCTAAATGAAAGATACCGGCAGTTGTCTGTTGAAATTATAATATTAGAATATGATGTAGCATAATAAAACTGTCATAATAAGCTATGCAAAACATACACAATCAAAATTCTATTCGGTAGAAAATTTATCAGCTGCATGATTTTGTAAATATCAAGAACTAGATTAAAATTCTGTATCGAAGACTTCATATGAATGTTAGAAAAGATCTCAGTAGAATAAAGTTGTCTACTAGACTCATAGACAGATTCATAGACAAGGCTTATAAACTAGAGTCTTCAATAGCTGGCATAACAGTTTCCCTCTGTTTTGATGATCTGTACACAATAGAGACACCCCGAAAAAGTCCTCTCTTCATCTTTAATACAACATAGTGTGCGCTGGTTGTGCTAAGCTTGTTGGTAACTTACGGCCTCAGTAAGTATATATGAAGATAATAACACTTGATTCTTTTAGTCTTTTTATGTTTGTACAGTAAACCAGTTCTCTGTAGTTCTCAGACCAGAACAAACAAGAAAGATATCCAAGATGGCGACTGTCGTATGGCAAACGTGCCTGTCTGTCAGTAGCAGTTGACCTTGGAGCGTCTCCTTATTAAAGTTGGATGGTGTGGCTCTCTTGTGGAGCCTCATTTAACGCAGGAGCCACGTCCTCTCCGGCTCGTCACTGGAGTCCACTTCATCTTTCATTTTATTTAGTTGATTTATTTATCTATATTGCCCATTTTCACTGGAATGTTTTTCTGCGCATTATGATTATGGTTTTCTTCCCTCACGGAAAGAGTGAACAGCTGGCAAAAGAAGCATCAAAATATTCTTGGAATGTTGTTAAAACATTAATATCGCTCAGAGTTTTATAAGCAAGGACATTTTGAAAGAATTTTCCTTCAGCAGATTCTTTTGCGCTGTATAGATATATTTTATATTTGTGCAAGCTCAGTCATTATCCTGAACTGCAGCCTGAATTTGTTCAACGGGAATTAAAGAGGAATACAACCATTTTTGTTTTCAAAATGTTTCCATAAGGCAATTGTTAAGATGCAAACACAGTCATTCAGAGTGGTTTGATGTGAATTGTTCACAGTTCTTGATGATAGGAACCAGACATCTAAAGCGTTTAATGTCTCTGAAAGCTTCCTTACTGAAAGATATTATACAAAATGCGTACAAATACCCTGCCTGATGCCTGAGATGTTGTTTAATGATAGTTGTGAGATAAGCTTTTGGGCTACAAGGCATCATTTTTAAACCCATTAATGTTTAAGAGATTCAGGGTGTTATGAGGCAAAACAGTCCCCAAAGAAAACTTTTTTCAGATTTACCACTATTTTACTGTTATCAACATTATATATAAAAACTCAGAAGACACATGCAGGTTCACTGGTTGCTTTCTATGCAAAATAAAGTGGTGACTCCTGGTTCCTATCACCACCACTATAAAGAAATCTGAGTCTGTAGGTTTCTCTGCAATGAATTATTTTACATAAAACCACTTTGAATGACTTGTTTACATCTCAGAAATTGAACTATGCATATATTTTGAAAAATCTGTGGAATTCCCTGTTAAGAAATTACTCAGAATGTGCTTTTAGACAAACCAATTTAATTTTGAAACCTTGTGATATGACTTTTAATTCTAGCAGTTGATATAGCCTGGCATTTTATTATCGTACTAATCATATATCACATATATAATTGTAAATTTACACATATTTTTACCAAATATGTTCTCATTCTGTATTTCAACTTGAATATAAAGCTGTAACAAATATGTTGTTCGCTCATTAGCTAAAATCACTGGGATCTCAAAGTGTTCTGCATGATATTTATTTGTATTTTATTTATTGTATGTGGGCTGAACATTTGTAGAAACGTAATTTTTTTAATATTTCAGCTCTGTATCACACATTGGGAAATTTGTGATAATAAGTAATAACATTGGGGTGATCTATGTTTATGCATCTTCAATATAGATGATTATTTTGTTAAGTTCTGTATACCACTTAGGAATACTGTTTGATCAGATACATGTCGTGCACCTAATTCCTGTCTGAAATGCATTTTAAGTGTTTGCCTGGAGCTCCAAATATTCAGTCCTAAGCCTATGTAGGTCAACCAGTTGTGGGTCTCCTGCCAAGTCTGAATGTCAACTGTATGCACTGTGAACATTCAAGGGTATTCCTAACCTTTATAAAGCTGTTTTCCCCGCTAGCTCACACAGTGTGTTTCTTTGTTTGTTTGCTCTTACTCACATTGTTGTTGCATGGCATGTGTTGTCTTCACACTGTGTTATGCAGTTATTGTCTAATGTGTTATACAATTTTCCTCCCTTTTTCTCTTGTAGAGATTTTGATCTGTTTTGATATATGCTGATGTGTAGGTTTGTTGGCAATGTCAACATTTTTTTTTCTTTTGTTCTTTTGTCTTAACTCATTTTTGTTTCTACATTTCTTCTATCGATTTCAAAAGCGAACTGTATTCTAAAACAGTGCTTGGCGTTGTCTGTTTTTCTTTCTTTGTTCTACAGAGATGTTGAAGGAGCTGAACCAGCAGCGCAAGGAGAAAGAATTTACAGACCTGAAAATTATAGTTGAAGGCAAAGAGTTTGAAGTCCACCAAAATGTTCTAGCTTCCTGCAGCTTGTATTTCAAGGACCTGGTGAAAAGGTTTGCCTTCCTTCCCCTTCCCCACCAGCCGTTGATCCGATCCGTTCTTTTCATAGGGCGCATTTGTGTCGCTTTTTTTTCCCTCCCCCTCTCTCTCTTGCAGGTTGCGTGGCGACTTTTGGTTCCTATCGCAGGGCCAGCAGCCATTTCTTCTCCCACTCGAATGAATGTATCTCAAAATTGGGAAAAAACAAAGATCCACCCTTTCACCTTCTCTTCCCTCATTTTAGAGCATTTACCGAGCAGAAAGTGTTCCATGACTGAGGGATCTTATGAAAAAAACATTAAAATAGCTGGAACTCACAATAGGGACTTAACATAAGAACAACCACATTGTGCATTTTGGATAGGGTCCTCCAAAAGCAGTGTGACGTCTGTCATATGGTTATGGGACGAGCTTTGTCAGACGTCCTATCAGTAAGTGTATCCTGCATATAGGGCGTAAAGAAGAAGCATCCCATTCATATGGTAACTATTCAGGCCGAGTGCATTGACTAGTAGAAAGAACACTCTGAGTTCCAAACAAAGAAGAGAGCGGAGCTCCTTTCCTGTGCTTTGCTGAATCATTACCTTCACAGGTCAGAGCCATCTACTGTATTTACTGCTGAAGAGCCGAATTTTATTTATTACTTCTTCCATATTGCACTCTTCTACTCCCATTGCCAACTCACTCTGTTTTTTATCAGTGTTCAGTCATTTTATTTTCCTGGCGATGTGTTTGCTAACACTGAGGAGGATGACAGGGCTAAGGAGGGGGCCATTTATTTGTGCATTTGGATGAATTTGAGCCCCAGTATCTATGCCTTATTGCCTGCATGCATGCATTCATTCATTTACGGTATGTTCTCCCACTTGTCTCTACATGTATTTGTATCCCTTTTATTCATTCAGCAGATCACACTGTTTGTTTGTCCCTGCTTGAGGCAGATGTTTTTTCTTTTTGCAGTGTCTATATGCACCTGGACTTAGACACCTTCCCCTAGGATAAATCCATTGTTCTGTATGTAAAGGTAGAAGCTTTAGTCTTTCCCCCAGTGAAATGCTCCACTGTTCAGTAAAGGAATTTGTGGTTATAAGCAAGACTCCCCAGAGTAAAGGCTCAGCAGAAATAAAGCTTTATCAGAGATGAACCCCAGTTTGCTCGGACACAGATAGATAAATTCATCCCAGTGAGCAATCTTAAACCAGGCATCTGAGCCTTTGTCCCCTCACCAAATGCTTAATGGCAGTGACCTTGATGCTTTGACGGAGGTCCTTGCACGATTGTTAGGAGATGGCACAGCCTTTTACTGTAATCCACTTCCTCACCATTTCTCCAAATCTGAATGGAGTGGATTATGCTTTAGAATTCTGGGAAGGCATGGTCATCTTGGGCATAATGGCCTTATTAAATCATGCGCTGGTTGCTCGGACGTCTGTACATAGAGCAAAGACAGTGTATTGAATCTCTGGCCTACCCTCCCTACATTAAAACTTAATTAGCATCTTTGTTACCGAAGCTGTAGCTCTATTGTTAGTTTTCTGCAGTCTGAATATCTTCTTTGTGATTCTTTTGTAGTACTTCATAACAACTTATTCATTGCTTTTAATTGATCAGTGTTTTTTTCTGCAAATTCTTAGTTCAATTTAATAAGATTACAGAGCTCTTTTAAGTTGACCTTTATCATATATGTTAAAGGGCCCAGTGTAGGCTGGCCTCAGTAGATTTCAGCGCAGTTGGTTCACTTCTGAGCCAGCTACCGGTCTGCTTCAGTAATGCTAAAGCCACAAAATTAGTGGGTACCTCAGCTGTATTTCATTCAAATAACTATTTTTCTCTCTCTGTAAAGCACACAGCCTGTGTACACGCGGTCGGTTTTTATAGTAGTTTTTCACTGAACGTCAAGGCATATGTGTAGAGGTGCATGTGCAGGAACACATTTGCAGAGCCATAACTATGAGGTGGGGGGGGGAGACAGAGATCTTCGCCTGAGACTGCACTTTAGATAATAGAGTCCTGATAGCACTCCTGCTGCCATGTTCCGCATGCTATCCATGAACTATCACCCTCCATGAATTCCAGCTCAGTCTGTCTGTTGGCTGTAATATCTGACTGTGACACTATCCTTTCTTGATAAATGTAAGTCTGTGCATTGTGTGCCATGAATAATTTTCATTATTCGTGACCCCATTTTATGACACTATAGTTAATTTACAACACTATATATGCTGTTTATATATAGTGTTATACAGTACTGAGCAAAAGTCTCAGCCAGATAATGTTTTAAACTATATAAAACTATATAACAACTATATAAAAATTTGTACAAATAAACATAAATACAGGAAAAATAGCACTTTTTTAAAGGTCATTAATATCATAGTTAGAAGAACATACTGATACACGTGATATCACAGTGGATCATCACTGTTGGGGCAAAACCTCACATCTCCAGACATTTTTCCAAAGATATTCTAAAGGTACATGGCATGGTATATCAGATGAGACTTTTGCACAGTAATAGACATGTATTTGTAATAAGACTATCAATATATATTGTCACTGTCAGAACAAAACCTTATATCCCCAAAAAAAGTAACTTTAAAGTAGGAGAAAAAAGCATTCTTAGCTTTCAGTGTAGGTTAATGGAACAGAAGTGTATTTAAGTCATTGTGGATCATCTCCATTGACTGTTTTTCATGAAAATTTAACACAGTATAAAGGGCAGCTGACATTTTAAAATGCCATAAAAAATGGAGATACAATTTTTTTTTTTTTGTTGTTTTTCATTTTTTTGGGAGGGTGGCATAGGAGCTATAAATAAATGATGGAATAGAATCCAGAACGACCACTTTTGGTTTTGTTTGCTTTTTTTTTTTTTGAACAAAACATTGTATCATTTATTTATGGCACCCACACACACATATATATTTCGCTGTTGTCAGAAGAAACCTCGTATCTCCACTTTTGTCGTTTTTCAGTTTTTGACATAATTTGAAAATGCCTGTTGCCTATTATATAGCGTGTAAATTTCATGATGAATGGACAAAAAGAAACGGCCCATTATTACTTGGAAAAATGTCTGGTTCTATTGAATTACATTAAAAGAAAGGTATGTTTTTTCCTTTTCCAGTAAAGTTATCATTTTGAAGATATGAGGTTTTCTTCCTTCAGACAACAGCGATATATATATATATATATATATATATATATATATATATATATACACACACAACACACATTCAACGTTAACGTTATACTATCACATTGTATCCTATCACATTGTCATGCAGAATGTGAGTTTGAGGTTGGTTCTTTGCATGCCAATTATGATTATTTAAACCACAGTGCACGTAAGGGCATTGTCCTCTGTTCCCCTCTGCTAAAGCTCACGGCTGGGAGTGCTGTGCTATTTTTACAGCCTCCACTCTCACATTAAGTTAGTCAGAGAGAGCGTTGCAAAGCATGCTACCTGAAGGATGTAATGCAGCTCCCAAATGTGCACGCATGCTCCTGTCTGCCAGCTATTACCCTCCCCTTTAGCATCTGTTGCACGGAGACGGATTGCCCTCAGTAATTCCATTTCCCCCTCCGGATTTTCAATAAGTATGCTTGGTGCCACTTTAATTTATGGGCAGTGCCTCGGCGCCTAGCCATCAGTGTGTAATGCGAAACTCAGAAAGCTGTGAGCAGCTCTGACACCCCGACTCTTATTTATTTATATAAGAGCGTCGTGTTAGCTTTACAGTAGCTGTGGCATCACTGAGGAGAAAACGAGGCCGTGCATGAGTGGGGATTCAGTAGGGGAGAGTTATCATTAACACTTCCGTGTGTTAGCCAGAGCTCGGCTGTTTGTAGTAATGATTCTTCTTGTTTTTCACAGCCTTTTTGTCAAGTTGGCTCAAATGGTCATATTTACTTATGACCAAACTGCTATCAGACCATGTTTTGTGGCATGTTTATCAGATTTTATGGCACATTCTGTCTAATTCTGTATATTCATCTGGTTAATTTGGACAAAGCTAAAACCTGACCCTACTGTTAATGAAGGGTGATCAGCATTGCTTTTGTTGTTTTATCATTTGTGCGCGCCCCCCTCCTGCCATAAGGGGCAGTCATTTTCATCCCATTCAGGCATACAAAATAGAGTCTAATTCACCCTAGATTAGTAGTCTAAAAGTGTTGAATATTTCCAGTTCTGGGTGCCAGGTTCTAACCCAGTTTGTAGCTATTAAACTGCCAAAGCCAGACAAAACCCCATAATTATAGTCCATCATTGCCTGCTATTTCCATTCTCACGTTTAATCATCTTTTGCCACTGAAAGACAGAATTAATGTTTTCCTTTTGTGTTTTTTTCCCTGTTTTGCACCGTATGTGTGTTTTGGATAAGCTTCTGAGTCAACAGAAGCCAAGGCGTTCTGGACGTCCACAGCTAAATTATAGTCTGCAGCCTCATACAGGACACAATTACAATAAAACTATTATTTAGACTCATCAAGGAAGCACATGCATCCCCCCTCCAGTCTTATAGTGGCTGCTAATGCTAAAAACAAAAAAGAGATGTTTTCTGTGGAAAAAAATAGATGCTTATTTTGGTAAACAATTTTCTTTCCTGCTCTTTTGTGCTCTGTCTCTTTCTCTCCCTCTCTCTCTCCCTCTCTCATTCACGTTCTGTCCACATACACGCATACAGTATTCACACACACAAACACATGAGGTCTCTTCTTCTTTTTCTTTCTTTCTTCTCTCACTCTCACTGTCTCACTCTCTCACAAACAAGCCTGCAATCAGAAGCCACATAAATATGCACCTCTCTCCAAAGCTAGAAAGCGATTTCCATAACAAAAGTGCCCAGACAAAGCAAATTGCTATCCAGGCTGATTCAGATTGCACTAATTGACCTGGTTGATGACCATGCTCTTGTTTTATTTCTAGCTCTCTTTTTTGTTGTTATTTTTTCCTCTCCCCCCTTTTCTCTCTCTCTTCTTCAACACCTCCATAACTTAACCCAGGATTACACCCCCTTCTATTATCTTAAAAACCATCGCCATGGCAATTAGGGAGGACGGAAATAACAAACCCTGACGTTTCTTTGCCTTTCAGGAGGGAGTAACATTCTCAGTCTTTTCAGCTGTAGCTCCAGAGCCGTAATTTGCACGTTGTTTCTCTCGAGTCGCCCTTCTACTCCCTCAAGTCCGCTCTGTATGAAGACTAATAACGTCCTCCAAACTACATGTTCATGACAGGGGACATGGTGAAAGTGGCAGCTGGGAGGGTTGTTTTTGGTGGTGGGGGGAACGATGGGGGGGTCTCTTATTTTAAAAGATCCAGGCACAGTCATGGAACACGCCCCACTCCCAGAAGAATGGCTGCTGGCTCCCTGTGACAAAACTAACCTGCCCTTCCCTCTCTCCTTCTCCCTCTCTCCACCGCACTCATCCTCCATCACTCCTGTCACTCTGTCTATCTGTCTGTCTGTCTGTCTGTTCTGCCTGGTGATCTATGCATGATTATTTTTTAAAGTGCAGATTTTTTTCCATTTTTATAAAAGGAAACTTACTAATTAAAATGTACTTGTCACCTGTATGTTCATGCAAGTAAGAGAATTACCAATTTTGATGTAAAAATAACCAAATATAACCAAATTATGACACTGAACTTTATATTTATGTTTAATATTGAAAGGTTTAACCAAAGACATTTTTAGAAAATCATTTCCTTAAATTTATAAGGTTTTTGTACAAATCAGAGACCACTCTTTATGTTTTTAATTTCCCATCAATTAAGCTATTAAGTACAAGTTTTTCTTTTTTTAGGAAATTATTCTGAAGAGATTAGATATAAAATAAGCCACTTGCATAAGGTAGATGAAAGGCAAAGGAAAATAAGTAAAGAAAACAAGGGTTTCCAAAGCTACAGTTAAATGATTATTAAAAATATAGAAAAAAAGAGTCTAAAAGGATGTGTAGCTGTCAATAAGCCATTACTGAGAAAAATAAATAGACAAAAAAGGAAACAGACAAAAAAGAAGAACATTTGCTAATCAAATAAAGAAGCTGCTGGTGTAGAATTTTGGACTGACCATCGTCAGGACCCCAGACCACAATACCACTGAATGAGTTTGGGATTACTTGGGATTGTAAAAGCAGGAAATGCAACCAACTTCTAAGACTGAACTTTGGGAATGTGAAAAAATATCCCTGCAGATTTCTTTGGAAAAACTGAAAACAAGTCTACTGAAATGAATGGGAGCTGTAATAAAGGTAAAGTGTGGGCTCACTAAATGCTGAAAAAATTATATTTAGTTGTTGAGGCTTTACTTCTTTGTTAAATATATGTTTTCTATTTTTTTTTCCTGATGCTGATGAACGACCTTGTACTTAATGGCCGTTTTGACTGGAAACTAAATAAAGGGTGGTCTCTGACTTTTGCACAGTACTGTATATTTGTAAATCAAGCTAGAATTAGTGGAAGGGTTAAAATTTTTGATGAATTTTACAAACCTATTAAATACATTCACAAGTGGGCTTTTCTTTTTTATATACGTTATCATAAAGGCAGTGTTTATGCCATTCCATGACACTGCTGTTAATATAATGAACTGTTTGAAGTCTTTGTGCATTTACATTATAAAATACTTATTAAGCAGTTTGAAGATGAAGTGATATTTCATCTTTAAATATTTTCAGCCCATTTTTGCCCTCGTCACTTTTGCATGCATTCAGTATTGTGCACAGTGGTTTTTGTGATGTCGCTGATACTGAGACAGAATAAACTGCTGTGTGGCCATTAATTCCACTCCTCTTAGCCTTGACCTTGAGTGGATTATTCTTTCACATGGGGCATAAAACCCCTGATGCTGACCATTATTCACAGATCCCTGCCATCCACCCAGGGGGCTTATTACATTTAAACTGATCAGTGCAATTTGATCTGAATGACATCAGACAGACAGCGGGAGATATAAGTCACACTGTAAACTTAGTGTGGCATATGAATGAGCTTTAGCTTAGATCCTATTAATGTAATGGACGCTCTATACAGCCTTTTCCCATAAGGAGGTGCCATTTACGAAGCAGTGTTGCCTTTGTCCCATATCTCTCACCTGCTGTTATGTTCTCCATGCATCCCTGTGTCTGTATGTGCATATGTGCAAGCATACTGTATATTTAGTGGAAAATAGCAATAATGTGTCTTTTAGCATTTGACATAGATTTTGTTTTATTTCAGTTGCAGGGAAAATGTGTTATGAAGTTGATTGAATAAGAAAGTTAAGAGTATGAAAAATCTCTGCTTTCTTGATGCCTGTGGGAAATTACATTATGCATTTCTTTCCTTCAGTGCTCTTTTTTTTGCAATTTCTTTGTTATTTCCCTCTTTTTTGTGTGTGTAAATATTGTCCTCTCCCTCTGTTCAGGCCGAGGTTTTATGTATGAGTGTGTATTTGAGTATATTATATGATTTATATAATTATATCTATCTAGAGATGTGTGTGTGTGTGTGTAATATATATATATATATATATATATATACATATATTGTATACATATTGAGAATATGTGGGAACAAGGCTCTCTAACTGCTGTCTTGATGCCTCCAGGTCACTTGGGGAGACTGGCAGTGGAGAAAAGCTGGAGCTAAAGATGACCAACATTAGTGCTGATGTGCTGGACATGCTCCTGGAGTTTGTCTACACAGGCTCGCTGGTCATCGACTCAGCAAACGCCAAAACTCTGCTGGAGGCTGCCAACAAGTTCCAGTTCAACACCTTCTGCAAAGTCTGCGTGTCTTTCTTAGGTAGGAACTGTCAACTAGAGTTGCATGACATATCTGTGGCCAGTTTATTATTCAGAGACAAATGGGAGAATGTAGTTATTATTGGTCCCCTTGGCATAGTGGAGAACAGCACAGCCCTACACATAGGAAGCTACTCTGTAAAAAAATACCTGTAAAAAATAGTAAAAAGGCCATCAGAAGCTAAATAACGTGAAGCATTTATGTATATTTTGATTACAGTACTTATCATGTTCAAGTTCATATGAAGGATTTTTTCCAAGATGCATTATAGACCACTTTTAAGACTTTTCTTTCATTTTTCATGATATATGTTGTTTGGAGTGGGATTTACTTGTACCAGAAATATCAATGCTATATTATTATTATTAAAACTTTATTTGAGAAAGAAAATGTTTTTCATTATACATCAACTCTTATTCTTTTCAAAAAACTTATTACGAGCAAAAATGGTTATACATAATTTTAGAATGAAATGTAGATTGATTTTATAGATTTTAGTGCAAATTTGTTTTAAAATTTAACAGAAAAAAGTGAACATATCAGTCCCCATTGCCCACAATTAGGTGTAAATTATCAGTTATTGGAACCACTGAGACATTTTGCATCAATGCATCTCTACTCTCAATGGTCTATATAACCTTTTCCCATAAAGAGGCACTATTTTTGCAGCAGTGTTGCCTTTGTTCTGCTGTTACGTTCTCTATGAGTTTCCATGCACCCTTGTGTCTGTGTACATGCCTTCGCTCCGCCCTGTCTGCTGCCAAGCCAGCTACAACTTCTGAATGTCTCTCCTCCATTCCAAGGAACTGTTGTTTGATTTGTAAAAAGGTCAGAGAACAATTGTATTGAAATGTCAAACTGAGTGTCACAGGCTGTGATATGATCCGGCTCTGTTTAGGCAGATCGATACAGGCTGGGTGCGGGGCTGGAGGTGGCCTGCAGGCTGACCAGTGGACTGGACAGCTGACTCTTGAGCAGACAGGAGAAACCACAACCTGGAAGGGTGCGGGTGCGAGACGCCCAAACGCAAAGTGCATAATTTAGTAACAAGGTTGAGATGAGTTCTTCAAAAGTCAAAGCTGTGTAGTTTATGCCAACTTTGACATTTGTCTCAAGAATATGGACAAAGTGAAGGCAAATCTTTGGTTTGAAAGGTCAGCTGAGCCAGACGGTGAGAGACAGTGAGAGAATACCACTGCCTATTGATTTGTTTGTTTTGTTCATTTTCACGTCTGAAAATGCGCTTTGGCAACATGCAGAGACGCCTGGAGAACCATCTGAAAGCTCAAATCAAATGAGAGCAAATCCAATGCGTGATAAAGAAAAGTTAGAACTTGTGGCCTTGACGGTTTTTTGAGCAAAGAAATGAGAGCATGTCAGGTTCTGTGAAGTGTAGAACATCTGATCCAGAGAGAAAACACAGCAACATGTTGAAAATATAAGAAAAGTGAAAAATGCGCTGCATTAAAGAAAGCTTTGTGTTTGCTGTCAGAGTTTTGCTTCTCATGGCCAGCTTTAGATGAGAGTCTGTAAAAGTTACATGTGTTGATAGAAATCATGCAGGGAAGCAAGTTGCTGTACAGCTGTACAGTTGTAGTGCTGCTGCTTAGAGTTGTTCATAACACGCAGGTTTGTGTATGTGTGTGCAGTACTTTGCAAAAGTCATAGACTGCTTTTCATTTATGTAATTTCCAGTCTAAATGGCTTTTAAGTACAAGATGAAGAGATATTTCTGAGGAGATTAGATTGCATAAGGAAGGAAAATAAGTGGAAAGTTTAAAAAAATTCTTAGAGGTTACAGAGAAAATGGGACTCTTAACAGCCATGCGAGATAAACAGCACTTAAAGCTTTCGTCATTGAGAGAGAAGAGAAAATCAAGCTGCCTTCTTGCTTTGGATTTGAAAATTCTAGAGGCTGTTACTGATAAAAGGAAAGACACCAAAAAAAAGAAACTTTGCAAATCAAGCAAAGAAGCTGCTGGTGTTCTCAGAACATTCGACTGACCACCCCAGAGTCCAGTATTGCTTAAAGTGTTTGGGCTAACTTGGATCTTGACATAGAAAATGCAAACTTCTTCTAAGACTGAACTTTGGAGTTGTGAAAAAACAGCCCTGTGGATTTCTTTGAAAAACTCAAAGCAAGTCTCCTGAAAAGAAGCTTTAATAAGGGCAAAGTGTGAACACCCAAAATACTGAAAAATATTATATTTAGTTGTTGAGGCTTTGGTGTCATTTTCTGTTAAACATGTTTTCTGCATTTTTTCTGATGCTGAAAAACATATAACTTGCACTTGATGGCGGTTTTGACTGGAAATTAAATAAATTAAGGGTGGTCTCTGACTTTTGCATGGTAGTGTATGTATGGAGGATGTGTGAAAGTGTGTGTATGATCATATCTGTGTGTGTGTGTGTGTGTGTGCGTGTGTGTGTGTGTGTGTGTGTGTGTGTGTGTGTGTGTGTGTTTTTTCATGCCAGCGCTGGGCATGTACCTCACTTTGCGGTTGTCTGCAGCATGCCATTTATGGCCCCTGGCAGAAAACTCCTGAAAAAAAATCCTCTGTTCCTTTTGTATGAGGAGAAGGCGTCTGACCCGGTTTATGGGAGATGGCACGTTACATCCCTGTGTCCTTCCAGACATAATAAAAACACATCTGCCCAGGCCAGATGTCCACTAAGCCAGAAGTATATTAAAGAGATATGATTTGTTTCATTCTGGTTTAAATTTGGGACAAACAAATTTTACTTCATGTGGTGTGCATGTTTCATATTTATTGTAACAGGTTTTATCTGGTAGGTTCATCATAATAAAAAGCCATATGATCTGCTTTTTGTGTTGTGACATGACATCCTTTGTATTTTTAGCCACAATGAATTTAACAGGATTTAGCAAGGAATACATTACATCTGCAGTGTTTATATATGTGTAGGCATGATTAGAATAATATTTGACACACACACACACACACACACACACACATATATATATATATATATATGTATATATATATATATATATACACACACAAAAGACTGAAAAACTGACATTTTTGTACAAAGGCCCTAACATGGTTGATTTCACAATTTTGCTACAATTTGAGTAGTACCCCAGAAATAATGCATTTCTTCTCATTTTAATTGTTGGAACTTGTCTATGTTTTAATTTTTTAAGATTCTAAAACTTTCTAATTTTTATTTCCACATATAAATAAAAAATACCAGACTTTCAGTGTGGTCTCAGATTTTAGGACTCCTTTGTGTAAATATATGTAAATAAAAAAATATGGGACTCGTAAGGCTACAGGCCACCACACATCCATTGGATGCCACTCAGCATCCTTCTGTTACTGTAATATTTTAAACCCAGACCACAAATCCATAGTAGGTGACATGGGCTTGAAAGTAAAACAGTCAGTCCTTCAAGGCAGTCAATTTAAAGTCAGGATAAATTGTTAAAGTGTTATTGAAAGTTCAATAGAAAAATGTTGCTTTGAATGTGCTTGATTCAGCTGTGTACGTTGGTTCCACATGAATTAAATATATTACATGACTACAGTTGGAAGTTGTTGAATTTACTTGCTTTTTGCAAGAACTTTGTAGTGTAATGTATTTTAGTCTTATGGAAAATTACACATTTCAAAGCAACACTTTCACTGTATTATTCTATTAAGTCAATATGAGTGAAATATAAAATGTAGATGACTTCTTGTTTGTCAGAACTTTTCTGGAGCACTTCCTTGTACTATCTTATCAGAGACCATCTGCTGGCATGACATGACGCTTCTCCTCCAGTGTGCAGTAGCCTTTAGCCAGCTGCAGTAGTTAGTTCTTCCTTCTTTAGACTAAACAGATAACAGCATAGAGTTATAAGATTTTAGGACTACTTTACTATTCGATTTTTTAAACTTTTATGATGACATGAATAATTGAAAATCATCTCTTATACATAAGAATTTACTTACTTATAGTTCAATAGTAGTTACTGAATAATTCATAGTAGTTATTGAATTGAACATCTTAAGATATATAACTGAATAATAAGCCTGCAGCTTGTTGGAACCTGAATATAACAGCTAGTTGCATTAGGCAGAACTTCTTCATTCTTCATTCGTTCTGCAGTCCTATTTATCTGCACTCTCCCTAAACAAAGGTATTGTTATAAGACTTCTCACATACAGGTTGGCTCATGCGACCCCTCATGCGTCTCTGCGTGGGCTTAAGGCACCAATAAGAGCTTTACCTGCTGGCGCTAATCCCCAGGATGGCATCCCGGGCAGCTGCCCTGCGCTCAATCGATTGGCCCTGATGTTTATCCCTGGGGTGCTTTGAGCCAGAACGCTCTTCTGAGCTTCACAGATACATAGCCCAGATAGCTTTTGCTGCCTTTCTCCCCTCAGCCTTGTGATCTTTTATGGATGTAAGCGACAGACGTGCTCTCTCTCCTTTGTGCTCTTCAGAGAAGCAGCTGACGGCCGGGAACTGCCTGGGGGTGCTGGCCATGGCCGAGGCCATGTGCTGCACAGAGCTCCACAACATGGCCAAAGCCTTCGCCCTGCAGAACTTCCCCGAAGTGGCCGGACAGGATGAAATCCTCAGCATCTCCAAGGAGGACCTGGTCAGTTACCTTTCTAATGACAGCCTCAACACCAAGGCAGAGGAGCTGGTCTACGAGACTGTCATCAAATGGATCAAGAGGGACCCGACAAACAGAGTGCAGGTGAGTCTCTCTTTGACTTACACTTTGCCTGTGTTAACGTTACGGCACCGTTTTTGGTGGTTTCCCTGTTCAACTGACCTAATTCGATTTAATTAATGCCTTAAAATCCTAGCTTTGTCACATTTCAAGGCTTGTTATTCAGCGACTACAAAAACTATAGAGGAAATTGCTATAATTGAAGATATAAATCTGTGTAATAGACGTTCGGACCTGCCGGTGAGTTCTGAACATTTAAAGGGTTAACCCTTTAAGGCTGACACAAAAATGTGAATATTTCTCTCACAACCATCCACTGCCAGCAGCATGTCAGCAGTGACTAGCATGCTGATAAAAGGTGCATGTGCACTTTCCAGTAGAGCTAGACCGATAAATCGGCATGCCGATATTATTGGCCATTATGAGCTAGTTGCAGATAAATCGGTATCGGTGTTTATAACAGCCAATAAATGATGATAAAAAAGAAACAGAGAGACGGAAGACAGATCCTTTAACCATGTTATGAATGTTGTCGTTGCGTAGTCTGTCTATGAGAGGCGCTCTGCAGCTTCACTGTTGGCAGCACACACCATGTTTGGAATAGCATAAATCACAATCAGCTGACCAAGCAAGAGTCGAGCAGAGTACTCCATGAAAGAGGTTATGTGCATTCATGGTAAGATGATATTTGGCAGGTGAAATGCATTACCTTAATAATAATAAAAAATGTCCCCAGCTCTTCTCTTCTTAGCCATAATAAGCCTGGCAGCATTAATGTCAGCCATGCCTGCTTTTGCTGCAGTAACGTGAAAGGCTGTACTGTCAGGCAAACATCAAAATTAGCTTTAAGTTTAAGTTTAACTTAAATGCCTAAATGACAAACTTCTTATTCACCTGCTTCATGTTCAGATTTTCCCATTCCACCTTAAATGGTACAGCAGTTACAGCAGTAGCCTCAGGCACAAGAATGTTAGTGCTGCACCAAAATTCAAACAAGAAGCTGGCAAATAGGAAGCCAGCTTTAGCCTAAAGGAAGCAATGGTTATTATATCTGTGACTTGCATGTCTGTAGCTATTGTAGTCATTGGAAATTGTTGAACCAGCAGGGACACATAAATATATGTCAGCTGAATAAGAACCTAGCATGGCTTCGTAGCCAAACAAAGTTATCCAGCTTCTCTTCAAACATGTAGTGTGTTTCTTGTAACTGCACTGCTTTGTTAGAGCACAGAGTGCATTGATATGCTGTGAGATGTTATTCGCATCTCAAAAAAGTTCTGGGATAGTTATTAGTAACATGCCACGTTCAGGTGCTCCCACATGTAATCTGGTTAATCTTGAAATTCTTTCAATGATAATACGACGGATGTTTATTTGTGTTCGTAACACTGCAGTGTGAAATCCCAAAGTTGTAAGCTTATTTTTAAACTGCATTATATCATGTTATCTTGGTAAGGACTCTTCAGTAACTACACATAGCAAATGTTAAAGAAAATCTTTGTTATGTTTTTCTGAAGAAGAGAAGAAAATAATACCGGCTGATATAACATGTTTTAAAATCCTCAAATATCGAAATCATATCTGTCTTAAAAATGCCGTATCAGTTGGGCTCTACTTTCCAGGGTTCACACTAAAGACAGATGTGAGTCACTTACACAACATGAATATGAACTGTCAAGACAGAAGCATTGGATCTGGGCAAAGAGTAGTAAGGCATGTGAAGTGAACATAACTTTTGAGTGTGCATTAGTGCTCAATGTCCTTGTTGCAGTTGCTTAAGCATATGTGTAGAGTTGTGGCAACATAAAACTAGCACACCACTAGAGAGGTTTGAGGTTTTCAGAAACCTGGACTTCCAGCCTGTGAGCATGCTCTGTGGGGATGCCAAAAGCGAAATGCTCAGAACAGATGTAAGAAGTGAACATAAAGGACTGAATTGGTGTTTCATATTTAAAAATGCCTGAGTATGAAACAGTGGAGGACTGAGGGCTGAACGTGGTCTGCAGGTATGGTATTGGAACTGAGTTTTGCCCTGTCTGAGTGAAAGCGTTAGACACAGCAGGAGCACTAAACCCCCTGAAGTGTCTCTGTTCCTTTAAGGATCAAAAGAGCTGTGCGCGAGACTCCAGACAGTTCAATAGGGCCTCTTCAAATCTCCCTCCGTATTGAAGAAGTTTGGGCTCTGAGAGGCCAGGAACAGGAGTGGTCAGCAACTTTTTCCAGGGCTTGCCCTCTTTTGTTCACTTCCCAGAAGATCGAGGCTGCTTATAGCTAACATAAATAAGCGCTGAGGCTCCACAGAGCTGCTGCTGGAATCAGATATTCAGGGGCTGTGTGGCATGACATTAGGCTCTTTGGAGTCATGATGGAGCGCGGTGCCTGTCTGAAATAGCTGAGGCATGTGTGACAGAGCCGTCGCATTGAGCTGCTGCTTAAGAAGCGGCTCACGCACTTTTGGCATGCATTTGTTCACCATAAAACAGTTCCACTACTGGCCAGTGCCAGAGTTTGTATGTGACGCCAGGACATTGGGTCATGAACACAATTTTACCATCCTCTCTTTCTCTCGCAGTCTCTTTCTGCCAGCCAGGCTAGACCGTGATGGAAGTGTTTTGATTGAAACTTGTGACATTTCCCAAGGATATATTGAGCCCAATTGTCACAGTCAGTGTACAGGGAAAAAAAACATAAAGCCAAATGCGGAGTGTTGTTCCTCATAGAAAGCCTTTGTTGGTGTCAACGGTACAAATATGCAATTTTCACTCTGTGAAACAGGACCTAAGAGGACATATGAGGGAAAAGTGGTGCATGAGAATACAGGAGTGAGATATAGTCGAGATGAGAAAACGTTTGTGACAGAGATAGTCAACAGGAGTGGAATAACAGCTCGTTTTGTCAGCATTAGAAGTAAACAAGTCATTTTCTCACTTTGAGCTAATTACCTCTGATTTAGCACCCACTCCTTTGTGAGCAGCCTGACTACTTAGCTTAATTTTAGCCACGATTCTGAAGTATTGCCCGCCGTGTGAGATGATGTATGGAGGCACGTTGGGCAATTCTTCATCTCACCATCTTAATTTGCATTAGTGTAACACAGTGAGTCAACACAGTTTTCCTGTAGTCATAACACTGGTCCCAACTGACTGGCAAGAAAGAATAATGCTGCTGCAAATAGCTCAGGGGGCTTAAAAATTTTACATGCCATCGGAATGATTGATCCTGCCCTTATGCTCCTAAATGAGCTCTTTTTCTGCCTCTGCATTATTAGATATGAGCCCAAACGGACTGAGCCAAACAGCATGACAATAAACGTTTACTCATATGATTGTTGTTTATGTTCCTCGATCTCTGCAATAATTATGATTGGAATAAACCATGACAAATGTCTAGCGTGAGGCGATTGCCTGAGGACCTGCCCATCAGTTACATTACGTCCATGTATACAGGAGTTGACCAATTAAGTGTAAACTCTTCCAGCCCTAATCCACGCGCTCTATTTGTTGAGTCTAAACAGTAGTTTAGCTGTCACTCAGGCTTGGAGCTGGAGGCTGCTGCAGTAAACTCCCACTAGTGTAAACAGCAGGAAGCCAGGAGTGCAGAGCAGTGAGTTTACTCCTGCCATGCTGTGGAAGCTCCAATATCATCCCTCTGCAGATCCGGAGACCCAGCAGCAGTTCTAGACATGTAGTCTAATGGCAAGACGTGATTTCAGCTTTGTGGTTACTTTGGCTACCTGGTTGTAGCTAATGTTATTAGTTAGCTAGTGAAACCAAGTCTTTGTTTCCTTTTATTAACTTGCCATGTAAAGTACAATGAGAAAATATAACCCCATTTCCAAATAAGTTGGGACGCTGTGCAAAATTTAAATAAAACAAAATGCAATTATGTGCAAATAATTTAAGCCTTGTATTTCATTGACAATAGCACAAAGACAACAAATCAAATGTTGAAACTGAGAAATGTTATTGTTTTTTGAAAAATATATGTCCATTTTGAATTTGATGCCAACAACACATTCCAAAAAAGTTGAGACGGGGTCAACAAAAGACTAGTACAGTTGTGTAATGCAAAAAAAAACACCTGGTTGTTAATTGGCAACAGGTCAGTGACATGATTGGCTATAAAAAGAGCATCTCAGAGAGGCTGAGTCTTTCAGAAGTAAAGATGAGGAGGAGTTCACCACTTTGTGAAAGACTGCACGAGGGAATAGTGCAACAATTCAAGAATAATGTTCCTCAACGTAAAATAGCAAAGAATTTTTGCTTTTCATCATCTACAGTACATAGTATCATTAAAAGATTCAGAGGATCTGGAGAAATTTCTGTATGTAAGGGACAAGGCCAAAAACGAGTATTCGCTGGCCATGTTCTTTGGGCCCTCAGGCGACACTGCATTAAAAACAGACATGATTCTGCAGTGGAAATCACTGCATGGGCTCAGAAACACTTCTGAAAACCACTGTCTGTGAACACAGTTTGTTGCTGAATCCACAAATGCAAGTTAGACTCTAAAATGCAAAGATGAAATCATATACAAACAGGATCCAGGAATGCTGCCACCTTCTGTGGGCCCGAGCTCATTTAAAATGGACTGAGGGGAAGTGGAAAAGTGTGCTGTGGTCTGACGAATCAACATTTGAAATTCTTTTTGGAAATCATGGACGCTGTGTTCTCTGGCTAAAGACCACTCAGCTTGTTATCAGTGAACAGTTCAAAAGCCAGTATTCATGATAGTATAGGGGTAGATTAGTGCACATGGCATGGGTGACTGGCACATCTGTGAAGGTGCCATATGCTGCCATTCAGATGACATCTTTTTCAGGGAAGGCTTGATTATTTCAGCAAGACAATGTCAAACCACATTCTACATGTATTACAACAGCATGGCTCCATATTAAAAGAGTCTGGGCATTAAACTGGCCTGTCTGCAGTCCAGGCCTGTCACTCACTGAAAACATTTGGTGCATTACAAAATGAAAAATACGACAAAGGAGACCCCAAACTGTAGAGCAGCTGAAATCAAAC